CACCTCTCACCCCTTCCCACACCCAAAGCCCTCATTCCCACCCCAAGCCCATACATCCTGTCTCAACCCAGTGAGGGGATGGCTAGACTGCAGGAGTTTTTCCGGGATTCCAGAGGTATCCCAGAAAAATTCTTCTGTGTCCAGGGATGCGTTTGTTCTGCTTTTTTTAGCGGAACAGCAAACGTGCTCTTGCGGTAACCCCTGTATTCCTCGTTCCATGAGGAATAAGGGGGCTTCTGAAAGAAGGGGTTTTTCTGACATTTGGCCCAGTCTAGACAATCGGGAAAAAAAGCAGCAGTGTAGCCGTACCCGAGAGTGTATAAGGGCTGGGGATAGCAAGTGATGGAGAGGAGGAGAACAGAGGGCAGGGCTTCAAGGAGGGGGTGGAGTTTTTGGGGAAGGATGGGGCAGTAGATCTTGACTTATTCTGACATTTAAAAAGTGATCTTGGATGTAAAATGGTTGGAGACCACTGGTCTAGATGGAGTTTAGTATCACATGAGCTGATGACATGCTCTTGCCTACTCTGATGAGCCATGGCAGGCATTGCCCACCATTTGGCTGAAAAGTCCATGGGAAAGTCCATTTAGGCATCAGATGATAGTCCAAGACAGTGTCTACCTGAAGATGTGAGGAATGCACCCACCAGATGCAAAAATGTGATTAGTAGATTCTGTGTAGCTGAGGGGGGCAACAAATGGCAGGCCAGGTTGGGCACAAGAGGAAGACTGGGAAAGCACACAGAGGCTGCTGCTGCTGGCAGAGTAGAACTGAGGCAGCAAAAGTGGGGCTCAGCTGCAGCAACAATCAAGTACCCTGGAGAAGCAGCACAGCCAAACACTGCCATGGTGAGCCACAGGCGCAGCAGCTGTTGTGAGCAGCTTGCAGGGCCCACCAGGGCCAGGAGTCTGGAGCATAGGCAAGATCTGATAGAGCCACCCAAGCATTCACTTAGCTTCTCAGACAACTTCCTCTGCCTCCTCCTGGTTCAGGTACAGAATCTGAGCCAAAGAGCAGGGTGAGCTGTGCCCTCCAGCCAGGAGATTTGTGGACAGAGCACAGTTGGGGAGGTAGAGATGTGCTTGGTCCTTTCCAAGTTCCTGTGATCTCCTGTGAGTCAGAGCCCTGCCTGTGGGCCTTGGTGTCAGACCAGCAAGCCCTCACTGGAGCTCATCTAAGCAGTGTATTTTTGTCTGCCCTGGGATGAGGGGATGGAGTGTGCCATGGGGGAAACATAGTTGTACCCTAGAGAGTGCAGCAGAGTGCTGGGCTCTCTCCGGTGAATGAGTTGGACCATTTCTCAAGTGAGGTGATGCACCTTTGCTGCAGGTGAGTGTGTCCTGGGATATTTTACCATCTAGAGCCCAGTCTCTGAAAAGTGGGGAAGGAGCCTCTTTGGGTGGGCGACTCAGATCCTGGCTCTGGAAGCAGTAATGGCATGGACCTTAATGAACAAGGTCAACACTTGGTTAATTACTCCCCAAGCAGGATTTCCAGTCTCCAAAGCTAATGTGATCTCCTGGGTGGACCAAAGAGAAGAGCTGTGCATCCCAGATCTCCAGGGCTGCGAGGAAGGGGAGATCATCAGCAACACCCACGCAGGTGAGCAATCAGCTAAACCAGGAGTCAGCAATCTTTTCAAACCAGAGCCAAACTGCATCAAAATTCAGAACAAATGGTCAACAAAGAGCCATATAAGCATGACCATTTGCATGACTGAAAATGTACAACTTAATATTATTGATAATTGACATAATGATTAATAATAGCATAAATGAAATGTATTCACAAACTTTATTTAATGAGACTTCACACACGTTCAGGCTGTCTTCTGTCAATCTTATGTCAGGAGGCTGGTGATGTGGGGGGGCAGAAGGCTGGGTTGGGTATATGATGGACTTAGGGTTGGTGTGTGAGGGGTTGTAGGAGTGTTATGGCAAGTGACTGGATGTGGGGGTACAGGAGTTGGAGGATGTGGGGGTTAGAGGAACTCAGGGCAGAGGGTTCAGGTGTATGATGGGCTCAGGGTTGGTGTGTGCAGAGTATTGGAGTGTTATGACACTGTGGCCAAATGGGGGCAGAGCCCAATTGGGGGCTTGTTGGCTAGACTTCATTTCTAAATTAAAATATGTCCAAAACAAGATTTCAACTAGGGATGTGAATGACTAGTCGACTATCTGATGAGGCAAATGCTTATCGGATAGTTGACTAGCCGCTTCCCTCCCACACACACTTGCTGCCTCTATCAGAAAGAGGCAACAACGGGGGTGAGAAGATGGGGTGCTTCAAAGCAGCTGTGCTCCGTGAAGCCCTGGGTCAGCAGGGGCATCTCCCTAGGGTTATTGCTACACTTCAAAGAAGGAGGTGCCCTTATTGACTATTCAGTTAGCCAAATAATCAAAATTTTGCATTCCTGATTTCAACATTGTCTTTATTTATGGCAGGAGTAGGGGACCTTTTTTGGGTTGGGAGCACTAACCCACAGAAAAATCAACTGGGGACAACACAAGTGAGAAACAAAACAAAAACACACTTCAAACCTCCCCAAACCACACTGATGTGACCCCTAACTGAAACCCCTCACTCCCCTGGTGCTCCAGTCCCATACTGCAGGGAGGACTAAGGTTCAAGGCCTCAGGCCAAATTTATTCTTCTGGGGTTCCAGAGTTAGTTGATTTTGTGGGGCCTCCTAGCCTCGAGATTGGGGCCAAAAATGAAACATTAAGTGTGCAGTACAGGGCTGCTACTGAATGGGATAGGGTTGGGCATGCAGAGTGGGAGGTGGGGTGTAGGTGAGGGTGTGAGGTCTGTCCAGGGGGCTGAAGGTAAGGGGTGTCCTTCCAGGATGCTGGGGGACAGGTTGTCTTGCAAGGGAGGCTATGTGGCATTTGGGCATAAGGAGATGGGGTGGGCACTTAACTTGGTTTTGCACCACGTTGCAGGCACCTTCTGCTGCTCCCATTCCCTGGAAGCCTCTGGAAAGGGCTGGCAGGGGAGGCTGCAGGAAGTGTGTCCTGGGGGAAGGAAATGTCACTACACAACACTGGGGTCCCCAGGCCATTGCCCTAACCCCTAGGCCACAGAAGAACCCACCCCACCTCCCTACCCTCAGGGCACCCCTTATCAGGCCTTCCTAATGGGGAAGTTGGTGCTGGCCATGGTGATGCTCAAGGATGGGTGGGGCTTGAACCCAGAGGACCCCAGGCTAGTGCCCTAACCCCAGGTTCCTGGGTTCCCCCATGCAAGGGGAAGGAAAACACTGTCAAGCTGAGCCATGTTTAGCTCTGCTTGTTCCCTGCATGCTGAATCCAGCAGGGAGGGGGCTTTCTGCCACTGCCCCTCCCCACAGGAACCTGCTGGCATTCAAGTCTTGTGGAGACTGTAAGGTTGTAGCACCAGTGCTGGCTTCCTGCTCTCAGGGGAGGGGAGGGGCTGAGCTGGGGCTCCAGAAGAGCCATATTTAACTACCTAGAGAGCCATATTATTCCTGCTCTCAGGGGAGGGGAGGGGCTGAGCTGGGGCTCCAGAGGAGCCATATTTGACTACCTAGAGAGCCATATTTGGCTTATGAGCCATAGGTTGCCAACCCCTGAGCTAAACTATTTCAGAAATGAATTTCTGTCCTCTCTTAGTAGATGTCAGTTACGCATTTTCATCAAATCTAATGGACCCTTCAGCCTGTGTTTAACTCCAGTCAGAAGGGGGGAGGGGGTTGGGTTCTCTCCTCTGGGGAAGGGTTGTGAGGAAAGAGGATGAACTCTGCTCATGATGATTGAACCTGTCCAGACATTATTTGGGTGTGTTCCCACTTTTCTATTCACCTTTTAGTTTTCCTTTCAGCTCAGCACAGAAAATGACTCCTGTCTGGATTCTGTCTCTGTCCCAGCAGGTGATGGTATGCTAAGTGAGAACAATGAGGAAAGTCTTCAGCAGAAAGGACCAGAGCAAGTGGCTCCACTTGCAATGTTATTGGGAAGATCTGAAGGGCATGTCACTCAGAGACCTGAGCAAGGAGAAACCTATAAGAGTCAGCATAGCCTAGAAAGGCATCAGGAAAACGATCCAGGAGAGAGACAGGGAAAATCCAGTCACAGGAGCAGAAAGGTGAAAAGAAACACAGAAACCATTCGACAGAAAATCCCCCATCAACAAGCACCCTCCACTTACAGTGACTGCAAAACTATTATTGATAATCAAAGAATCCACACAGGAGAGAAACATTTCAACTGCTCTGATTGTGGGAAGAGTTTCAGTAGAAGCTCACAGCTTGTTAAACACAAAAGAATTCACACAAAGGAGAAAGCCTTTTACTGCTCTGAATGTGGGAAAAGCTTCAGTCGGAGGTCAGCACTTATTAGACACAGGAAAATCCACACAGGGGAGAAACCCTTCAGCTGCTCTGAATGTGGGAAAAACTTCAGTAGGAACTCACATCTCATTTTACATCAGAGAACCCACACAGGGAAGAAACCCTTCAACAGCACTGATTCTGGGAAATGCTTCAGTCTTAGAATCCACACAAGAGAGAGACCATTCAGGTGCTATGACTGTGGGAAAAGTTTCAGTAGAAGCACTCGTCTTGTTAAACATAGAAGAATCCACACAGGGGAGAAACCCTTCAGCTGCTCTGAATGTGGGAAAAACTTTACTGATAGGTCATACCTTGTTAGACATAGCAGAATCCACACAGGGGAGAAACCCTTCAGCTGCTCTGAATGTGGGAAAAACTTTACTGATAGGTCATACCTTGTTAGACATAGCAGAATCCACACAGGGGAGAAACCCTTCAGCTGCTCTGAATGTGGGAAAAACTTCAGTAGGAACTCACATCTCATTTTACATCAGAGAACCCACACAGGGAAGAAATCCTTCAACTGCACTGATTCTGGGAAATTCTTCAGTAATAGAATCTGCACAAGAGAGAAAACATTCAGGTGCTCTGACTGTGGAAAAACAGCTTGTTAAACACAAAAGAATTCACACAAAGGAGAAAGCCTTTTACTGCTCTGAATGTGGGAAAAGCTTCAGTCGGAGGTCAGCACTTATTAGACACAGGAGAATCCACACAGGGGAGAAACCCTTCAGCTGCTCTGAATGTGGGAAAAGCTTTGCTGAGAGGTCGTACCTGGTTAGACATAGGAGAATCCATACAGGAGAGAAACCCTTCAACTGTTCTGAGTGTGAGAAAAGCTTCAGTAGGAAAGCACATCTTCTTGTACATCAGAGAACCCACACAGGGGAGAAACCCATCAACTGCACTGATTCTGGGAAATGCTTCAGTCATAGAATCCGCACAAGAGAGAAACCATTCACATGCTCTGACTGTGGAAAAAGTTTCAGTAGAAGCACATGTCTTGTTAAACATAGAAGAACCCACACAGGGGAGAAGCCCTTTTATTGTGCTGAATGTGGGAAAAACTTTACTGATAGGTCATACCTTGTTAGACATAGCAGAATCCACACAGGGGAGAAACCCTTCAGCTGCTCTGAATGTGGGAAAAGTTTCAGTGAGAGGTGGTATCTTGTTAGACATAGGAGAATACATACAGGAGAGAAACCCTTCAACTGTTCTGACTGTGGGAAAAGCTTCAGTGAGAAGTCAGATCTCATTAGACATAGGAGAATACACACAGGAGAGAAACCTTTCAGGTGCTCTGACTGTGGGAAAAGCTATAGGTGTAGCTCACACCTTATTAAACATAGGAGAATCCATGCAGCAGAGAAACCCTTTTTGGGAAAAACTTGAGTTGGTGCTGAAATCTTAATCATCATACAATCCACATAGAAGAATCATAAAATCATAGAACACTGGAAATGGTAGCAACTCTGCCCTCACAGCAGGACTAAGCACCAGCTAGATCATTGGTTGCCAAACTCGGGGGGGGGGAAGAAATTCCAAGGGGGGCATGAGGTGACAGCTCCCCCTCCTCATTCCCCCCACCCCAAGAAAGAGCCCGTACTGACACTACTGCCTACGAAAATGGAGGTAGTGCCAGCTTGCTGCAGTGTGTGTAGGGAGGGCGGGGGAAAGTACTGCAGCTATATGCCAGAGCCGGTGTTTTAGGGAGCATGTGGGCTGCTCTTCCCCTCCTGCAAACAGCCGGCGCATTTCCTGAAATGCCAGGTCTATCGCGCCAGGGAATTTCCTTCCCCCTGCTGCCTTCCTGCATCGGGGCTCACCATACTCCCAACCCCCCTGCCCTGAGCCCCTCATACAGTCCAACCTGAACTCCTGCACCCTCATTGTGATGGACCCCCCTGCCCTCCATGGTTTATGAAATGGACATGAATATATATAACTCAAAGGTGGTTTGAGCAAATTATTTCATGTTACCCATCGATCTTCATGGCATGATCTGCTGGTTCTGTTTATCTTACTCTGTTGTATGTATCATTTGTGTGTGTAAAATTAGACACATGGAGTAGGGAATATTTTGTGAGTTTCCAATGTGTGAATGGGAGACATGGGGGGTGTTTCCTACAACTTCTAGATGAGCCACTGTAAAACAATCTTTTGTTCTTAAGTCTGAGCAGAGATTGGTAGGGAGTCGCCTCAACTCCTTAACAAAAGGAATAGGAAAGCAGAGGCCTAGGTCTTTTGGCTGGGCTGCACCTGAAGGAAGGAGACTGAGACCCCAAAAGGTGGGGAAGACAGTCTTGGTTTGGGGGGGCAGCTAGAAAAGAGGTTTTAGGGTGAGTTTGATTAAGTTTCTACTGAGGTTTCAATGTAGAATTAGTCAAGCGGTTTTGTTTCTTTTGATTTGTAAACTACTTTGCTCTGCCTACTGTTACACCTTGGTTCGGTGATGTGGTGGAAGCCTCAAAGGTTAAAGCCGATTACCTAGTGAAAACTACTGGATGATGGCGTAAAACAAATGATCTTTATTAAGTGGAATGATTCTTTTATCAAAACCAACAATTAGAAAATGGTTTTTTAAACTAGCAATTGCCCAATGCTTTTACAGGGTAGAAAACCTTAAACTTAGCTGTACTTAACTAATTACAAACTTCTTTGATTACAATTCAACTATACCAAATTCAGCTATACCAAATCTGTCATTCATGCTAAAATTCGACACTCTCCGCGGGGGGCTGAACAAAGACCCCAACTACCTTACCCATTACAAAGATAGCTTCCCCAATTATCACTTCTAATACCATTAGCTCACAGACATCTACCTTTCCCCACCTCTAATATCATTAACTCACAGACATTTACCTTCCTTCCTCCCCCCC